GCCCCCCGTGCCAGCCAAGCCCCACCCCCTGCACCGACCCATCCTCTGCAGCCTGTGCCACCCAGCTCTGAAATGAGAGGGAGAGGGAAGGGGACCTGGTCCTCCCTTCTCTCGCTTGGACATTTGGAGCAGAGACCCACCGAAGGCAAACACATCATGGAGTGTGCAGATGAGTTCCACCAAGAGAAAAGGATGTTTAAAAGTCAACAGCACTTTGGAAGGCTGAGGCAGGAAGACTGCTTCCAGCCAGGAGTTCATGACAAGACTGGGCAACATAGCAAGACTCCCTGTTTTAAAAATTAGCTGGCATGGTGTCACCCGTAGTCCCACCTACTTGGGAGGCTGAGGCAGGAGGATCATTTGAACTCAGGAGCCAAAGACTGCAGTGCGCTAGGACCATGCCACTGTACTCCAGCCTGGTTGACAGACTCAGACCCTGACTCCAAAAAGAATTGGCAGGAAGAAAACGAAAATGGGCTGGGCTCAGTGGCTCAGCCTGCAATCCCAGCACTTTGGGAGGCCAAGACGAGTGGATGGCTGAGCCCACGGGTTCGAGACCCGCCTGGGCCACTTGGCGAGACCTCATCTCTACAATAAATCAAAAAACTAGCCGGGCGTGGTAGCTGGCGCCTGTAGTTCCAGCTACTTGGAAGGCTGAGGCAGAAGGATCGCCGGAGCCCAGCAGGTCGAGGCTGCGGTGGCCGGGAGCGGCCACTGCACTCCAGTCTGGGTGACGGAGTGAGACTCCAACTCAAAAAAAAAGAAAGAAAACAAAAATGAGCCAAATGTTGTACATTATGGAGGAGGACAGAATTCTGGCTCGGCTCAACAAGGACATGCTAAACTCAAAGATCACACACACACACACACACACACACTCGATAACGAGAAGACAACACGTATCTCCAAGGAGCTCTCTGCCACTCGGTGCTTTCAACACAGGCAAAGTGAGGACAGAAAGACAAAGAGGCAGCCCACAGGGCGGGGCCGTGAGCCCCCACCCGGCTCACTTCCTGTCCCCACCCTCCTGTCTCGTTTGCCCGCATCTCCCTCGGATCGGAGCTGTGGGGAACGGAGCCCTAGGGAGCATGGAGCAGCCCTGAGCAAGACCTCTGGGGGCCCCTGAGTCATGAGCTGCTCCCCACACTCAAAAGAGCAGCACTGTCCATCCCCAGAAGTGGCCGCAGGTGTGGTGATGTCCTCCACTCCGACCTCCAGACCCAGAGCATGGAGAGGGCGTTTCAGCAGCAAAATTTGGGCTGGTGCAGAGGGAAAAGCTGGGTCTGGATCATGCCCACCTGCTGGCCACAGCCCATGCCTTGGGCCGGGCCGGGCACCCACCCAACTCACCCCCCGGCAACTCCTCCCCTCTAGAGAAGGCCCAGGTTTCAGAAAACATGTTTCCCGGAAACCTCTCTACCCAGCTCACAGTTGCCGGGGCAGAAACCACCAAGGCACTGGGAGGGAGGCGAGGATTTGACAAAGAAAACAAAGCAAAGCAAAAATCTCGCGGTCTGAAAAGAGCCAGAGGGTGTGGAGACCCCAGCAGGGTCTGGTGCGGGACCAGGCTCCAGCTGGGTCACACATGGGGACACAGCAAAACCACATTTCCGCCGAGAGAGAGAAGCGTGTCTCCAGATGCGTGTTTGTTCTGCTTGCTTCTCCATTGTGCCCCCACCCTGCTTCACAGCATCGCAATCGGCCTTCAGCCACCTCCTGAGGCACGGCCCCTCCTCCCCACACGCCAAGTTCAGAGTTGCAGGAAGTGAGACGAAAGTTCACTCCCGGCAGGCCCCTCGGGTCCCCTTCACAGTGGGAACTTTTCTGACCTCTCGATAAATCCTGTTTAAAAATAAAACAGGAGAAAGGTCACTCCCGAGTCCCAGGCGAGTGTCCAAAAGCCACCCACAGGAAACCCCGTGGCTGTTCCCCACCCTCAGCTCAGTAAGCCCCCCTTAATAAGGGGATCAAGAAACTCATCCCAGTCGGCTGCGGTGGCTCACACCTGTCATCCCAACACTTCGGGAGGGCAAGGCAGGAGGGTCACTGAGGCTGGGAGTTCAAGAACAGCCTGGGCAACATAGCAAGACCCCATCTCTACCAAAATAAAACTAGCCAGACGTGGTGACACCTGAAGTCCCAGCTACGCAGGAGACTGAGGTGGGAGGATCATTTGAGCCCAGGAGGCTGAGGCTGCAGTGAGCTCGGATCATGCCACTGCACTCCAGAGAGACTCTAGACAAGGTGTCATAGGCTTCAGTGTTAGTGATGACTCGTCCCCAGCACCGAAACCTGGAAGATCCAGGCCAAATGTCAGGCAGGGCCTCGGCTGCTATCAAGTTTCACATACTGGGAAGAAAAGTCAAAAGCAGAGGAAAGTCACTTTCCCACGAGTGGGCCCGGTCTCCGCAGGGACAGCTCATAGCCTGATGTTGAGCGGACAGAGGCCGCCATGGCTGGCTGCACCCGGGCAGTGGCTTGAGCCTGAGCACGGGGCCCCACGGTTGGCCCCAAACAAGGACATAGCGTCTTAAATCCAGTCTTCAGGGCAGGAGCAAAAGGGCCGTGCCCCAGGAACAAGAACAGATACTGGTTGTTGGCTAAAAGGCCCGCATTTTAGCCAAAGGGATATAAATTACTCTGTGCACAAACTAGCACTATTCATTTTAAAAAGAGAAAAAGAAAGACAGGGCGGGGAAGAAAGTCACGTCCTCCCCCAGGGCAGCCTTTCTGGAGGGCCCAGGCCCATGGGGCACTCACTGCCATGGCTCACGGCTCTGACATGGGGAAGGAGCCCGCCACAGGCGCCAAGTGGGCTCCGGTGGTCTCCACCCCAGACTGGGAAGAGGTCAGCGGGGGTCCCGGCTGGGACCCACAGAGCACAGCTCTGCCGGGCCAAGATGCCACGGGGAGGTGTGGACCTGCTGGCCGGCCGCCCCGGCCACAACAGCTGTGTCCCCCAGCGCAAGGGGAGGCAGAGACGCCACGCCCTCCAAGTCGACAGGCGTTTCCGAGGAGCCAGAGGAAGAGCAGTCTCGGCGTTGCAGTCCGACCCCCGGCCGCCAGGCTGTCCTGAGCAGCCTGCAGGCCCGAGGTCCCGGTGGCCGGAGGCCCCAGGAGCCCCAACAGGCCTCAGTGTTTGTGACAGTAGGCGAGGCCGCCTTCTGCCTGCTCCAGGAGGTCTAACATCTCCTCGATGATGGCCCTGAGCGCCCTGCCCAGCTGGTCCGCGTTGTACGGCTTGCCCAGCGGGGGCACGTGGACGAAGGCGGACCGGCCGTGGCTCTGGTACAGAGACGTGTAGTAGGTGAAGTCACAGAGATACCTAAGCCAGGGCGTGGGGCAGGAGAAAGGCGAGACAGGGTTAGCGCATCCACACAAGACCAGCAGCACAGCCTCCATCCAAACCCCAGGGGAGACCTCCGGCCTCCCAGAGACCCTTTGGAAGGAACACTGCTGCCCCCCTCCCTGGCTTGGCCAAAAGCACAGAGCTGCTGGGCGTGGCGGTGCTGCCTGTGGTCCCAGCTACTCGGGAGGCTGACGCAGGACGACTGCCAAGCCCAGGAGTTGGCCAGTCAGGACAGACCTTAGCTGTGATGGTGCCACTGCACTCCAGCCTGGGCAACAGGAGGAGACCCAGGCTCCACAAAACAAAGACTCTGGGTGGTGGCTTATGCCTGTAATCCCAACACTCTGGGAGGTGGAGGCGAGAAGATGACCTGAGCCCAGGGGTTCGAGACCAGCCTGGGCAACTTGGTGAGACCTCGTCTCCACAATAAATCAAAAAATCAGCTCAGTGTGGTGGCGCACACCTATAGTTTCAGCCACTTGGAAGGCTGAGGCAGAAGAATTGCCTGAGCCCCACAGGACAAGGCTGTGGCAGCTGTGAGCATGCCACTGCACTCCAGCCTGGGTGGCAGAGTGAGACTCCTACCGGGAAAAAAAAGTCACATAACTTTCGGCGCCGCTGCACACGTGGGGAAATGGGCAGAGGAATGTGTTGCTGTGGGAATGTCAGCCGGCTGCCCCCGGGGCAAGGCCGTCTGGCAGGCTGGCAAAAGTAGAACTGCCCATTTTCAGTTTTTAGAACCCACCCTCAGGAATGCTCTGCACAAGGGCAGAAGAAAGCACAAGCAAGAATGCTCTTGGCTACATCCTTATGCAAAAAAGCAGAAAGCACCCTATGTGTCCACAAGAGGGGGTGGCTCAGCAAGCCCTGGCTCACCCACACCAGAGAACACGATGAAGCCATGGATGAGGAACGGGGCACGGCGAGAAAAAGACCGGAGGACCCGCCAAGAGGCACACTGTGTGCCCACCAGCAAAAGCCAAGGAAGGGAATTCTCGGAAAGATGCACACCACGCGACCCATCCATGTGAGAGCAAAGTCAAACAAGACAAAGCCCCACGCCGGCATGCCCAGGACCTGGGCAGGCACGGCAGCATGTGGGTCCAAAGGAGGTCCATGGCTCACGTCTCTGACTTACCAGAGGAGCCACTGTGGGGAGGCAGGGCAAGAGAATCCCCCACAAGGATAGCTGTGTGATTAAAAATTCGGGGTTTCTGAGTCAGGGTCTCACTTTGTGGCCCAGGCTGGAGTGCAGTGGCTCCATCACCGCAGCCTCAACCTCCCGAACTCAGGAGAGCCTTCCACCTCAGCCTCCCAAGCAGCGGAGACGACAGGTGCACACCATCATGCAAGGCTAACTTTTGCATTTTTGTAGAGACAAGGTCTCACTATGTTGCCCAGGCTGATCTCAAACTCCCGGGCTCCAGTGATCCTCTTGTCTCGGCCTCCCAAAGTGCTAGGATGACAGACATGAGCAACCACACCTGGCCGAAAATTGGTTTTAAAAAGACACTGGTGGAAGCTGGGCCTGGTGGTTCATGCCTATAAATTTCCAGTGCTTTGGGAGGTCGAGGTGGGAGGATCACTCAAGCCCAGGAGATCATGATCAGCCTGAGCTACACAGTGATCCCCATCTCGACAAAAAATGGAAAACTGGCTGAGCATGGTGGTGCAGGCCTGTAGTCCCAGTACTTTGGGAGGTGGAGGCAAGAAGATTGCCTGAGTCCAGCCTGGGCAACATGGCAAGCCCTCATCTCTACAATAAATCAAAAACCTAGCCAGGCATGGTGGCACACACTAGTAGTTCCAGCTACTCAGAAGGCAGAGGTGAAAGGATTGCCAGAACCCAGCAGGTCAAGGCTGCTGTGACCATAAGCATGCCACTAACTGCAGTCTGGACAGCAGAGTGAGACTGACTCAAAAAAAAGGAGGCCAGGTGAACACACACAGAAAGAGAAAAAGGTGATACAGAGACAGGAGCAGAAACAGGTGAGGACTGCCAGAGCCACTGACGCAGGAGAGAGGACTGGGCAGACCCGCCCTCAGAGCCTCCAGAAGGAAGCTGCCCTGCAGACACCTTGATCGGAGACTTCCAGCCGCTAGAGCCGGCAGATAATGCGTTCCTTGTTAAGCCACCCAGGATGGGTATGGGTTATGGCAGCCCCAGGAGATGAATACAAAAACCAACCACTTGGGTCGGGGTGCAGGCAGTGGGGTGGAGGACGGGGAGGTGGCTGGAGCAGCGTCCAGGCAGGCAATGCCAGGGCCTGGGGAACCATGAGGGGGTAGGACTGGACGGTGGCCCAGGGGCACCCATGGAGTTCCAGGGACAGAACCAGCAGCACCTGCTGCCTGCACGTTCTTAACTCACACATGCCAAGCACCCTGCCCACGGAGGCCAGAGCCGACACACCAGACTCAGCTGGCGGGGGAGGAACCCCCACAGAACCCCCACCTGCCGGCATCCTGGGAGATGGTGACTGACACGTCCAGGCCCAGCGTAGTCACTCTCTTGCACACGGCATCCATGTCAATGATGGACTCGATGCTCTCGGGTCCATCCTCCACACAGCACTGGGAGCCAGGGCAGAAGCGGCAGTTGTCCAGGCCCCTGTAGCCCTTGTTGTGGCCACACTTCTCCAGTGTGACTGTGGTCGCCATGCCTGACACCCCCACGTGAACCACCAGCTGCAGACAGAGGCACAGGACTTAGCAGGGCCTGCCCATAAGTCTGGGGGTCCCCCCGGCCCAAGGACAGGGCAGCATCTTCACTGGGCTCTGCCTAGGGCTACACTGTCACTGACCTCTTGCTGCTAGAACAGACCCTGCAGGCACTCTTACAGAAAGGTATGCCAAGCAAACAAGCAAGAATGTGAAACATGCAAGGCCGTTCATTGCAGTTCTTGCAATTGCAAGCAGATACTAAAAACCACCTCACTAGCCATTTATGGGGGCTTGGCTCAGTTAATAAGGAACTCCTGTTAAAATGTTCAAGGCAGCCAGGCTCGGTGGCTCAGCCTGTAATCCCGTGCTTTGGGAGGCTGAGGGGAGTGGATTGCCTGAGCCGGTGGGTTCGAGACCCGCCTGGGCAACTTGGCGAGACCTCAT